CCTGCCCACCCCCTTCCCTCCCGCACAGTCACTCCGTCGGCCAGAAAGCCCCGCGTGGACAGCAGCAGCCGGGCGCTGAGCTGAGCTGTGCAGCCCTCCCTGCTTCCTCGCATCTGGCCTCAGGCCACCCGTGTGCCGGCCAGGGCTGCTCCAGGCCCCGCGGAGCCATCAGGGCGGAGGAATGCAGGGAATGAGGGGACTTGCCAAGGCCCCGCAGCCAGGAAGCTGCAGAGCAGGACTCCTGGGCCGACTCCCACTTAGTCACTGCCGCCCGCGCGGCCCACGGCGCATGTGCACGTTCTGCATGTGGGACGGCCCCTGTGAACCTAAGACAGTGAGAACTCCTCCCCTCCCGCCCGCGACCCTGTGCTGAGCGGTCGGGTGTGTCTCCGGTTCCCAAGAAAACAGGGGACAGGCCTGTCTTCCCTTCGTTATGCCTTAACCCTAAGCAGGAAACCTCCTCAGTGCTAGTGTTCGCCTCAATCCCCACTTCCCATGGGGGTTCAAACCCAGGCCCCGTGTCCGATTGTTGAACGCGCCCAGAAGGAACCTGGCGGCCGCAGCCAGAGGCAAATGAAAGGATTCAGGCAGGAGCCCTGGGGGCTGCACGCGTGGACACGGCGAGGCGAGGCGAACCCAGAACCGGTCGGAGGAGAGGGTGAGCTGGCGGTTCATTAGAAAAAGCAGGTTCTTGGGAACGACAGTCCTGCCCGTCGGCCCGGCTCCCCGAGGGGACGGACCTCTGCCTGAGCGTCCTCCAGCGCCGTGAGTGCTGCCCCATCAGCCCAGGCAGGGCCAGCCACCCGGGCGCCGTCCGCAGAAGGAATACTGTTCTCGCCTAATACTGGCTCTATGGCCCTACGGGCTCCAGGCAGGAGCCTGCTTGTCACTGAATCTGCTTTGTCACTGAATCGAGTTCTTTCAGATGAGAGTCAACTGAGATGAGCACTTGCCTCTGCACTCGTGTCAGAGTTAACAGAGCGAGTGTCCGGGCGCCCGGGGGGAGGGGGTCTAAATCCTGGGGAGAGGGTTCTGGAGCCAGCCGGCCACTCCAGGCTGCAGCCAGGGCCAGCCCTCCTCGGCAAGGTCACCAGGCCAGGCCCCTGGCCGGGCTCCCAGAGGTCAGAGGGAGGAGGAGCTGGACTCCTCACCTGGGTTTAACCTCTGTGCAGAGCGGCGTGTCTCACTGTGGGCTCTGCTCTCGACAGTCACTGAGCGAAATGAAACACAGCGAGTGACTGCTAACAACACTGGGAAGCTTCCCGACTTCACAGTGAGAGCCGTGAAACTGCGGGCGAGACGTCAGGATGGGGTCACCAGTGGCCTCCCCGTAATGCGGGGCCTTTGGGGTGCTGGTCGCGTGCTGTTCCCCGATGGCGGTGCCAGTTACGTGGCTGCGTTCCATCTGTGAGCATTTCCCAGTTGCACCTTGGCCTGTGCTTCCGCGTATCTATTCTCTTCAGTGAAATGTTTGCAGCGGAGTCCTAGTGTCCTTAGCTTAGTTGTGATGAGCTGGGTTTTTCCTGGTGTCTGGCTTGGAAATTCAGTTTCAACCTGACTTAAGTTCCTATTTCATCTCAAACTCCCTCGACTGAGTAGATGGCAGTGTGGTCGGCACGGCCTCATTCTGACACGTATGTTGAACTGATGACACACATGTAGTTCTATTCGGCGAACGGGGGCTAGTAGTAGGTCACCAAGGCTTTGCCATCTGGGAGCAGCCGCCTCCGACTCACTGCTGAGTTCGTCATTTCAGTGAGTTTTGTTTTGTTTGGGTTTTTAAAAAATATGTATTTGTATTGATTTCAGAGAGGAAGGGAGAGAGAGATAGAAACATTAATGAGAATCATTGATCGGCTGCCTCCTGCATGCACTCCACTGCGGATGGAGCCCACAACCCAGGCACGTGCTCTAGACTGGAATCGAACCCTAGACCCTTCAGTCCGCAGGCCGACGCTCTATCCACTGAGCCACACCGGCTGGGGCTTCAGTGTGTTCTTAAGGTGTTTCATGCTGACGACGAGAAAGCTAACACGAGGGAGCTGAAGTCGGGAGCTGCAGAACCAAGACGGAGAAGGAGGAACCCTTTGAAAAGGATGAGGGGAAGGATCTACCTATAGTTGCCTCCGAAAACGGGGAAACGTGAAGGACGCTCACAAGTGATGGTCTTGGTTTTTCCAGGGAAAAATGAAAGCAGGGTCTGGGCCGGGAGGAAGGGTTGGGCTAGGGCTGACTGAGTTCCCAGAAAAGGAAAACAGGAAACGACATTGTTGCCGTCACCTTGGCTGAAGGTCACGGAACGAAGGTACTAGCCAGAGTGCAGGTCCATGGTCGGCAAGAGTGCTCCCAGTTCAGTAAATACAAGAAGGGAGGAAACCGTGATCCGGGTGAGAGCAAAGACTCGCGGTCACAGGGGACAAGGCGCAGACTCAAGGGGAGGAGAGGCAGGGGGTGGGCAGGGGTGGGGAGAGAAGTCAACTCACAGCCCAACCTGCGCCGTGGCATCCACTCACCTGATGACTGGATCCGAGGTGTGGCCACAGCTGTGGGTTTCGGATTCAGCGTGAAGCTGAAGATCACTGTTGAGAAGGATGAGAAACCGTGGGTCAGGTGCTGAGTCATCACTGCAGATGCTGAAATCACGGGCGGACGCAGAACCTGGGGACAGTGCCGAGGCTGACACGGAGTTTCAGGGACCCAGCTGGGCACAGGCACGGAGGCCCGCGGTGCCCTGGTCAGGGCCACACGACAGCAGCTAGCCAGGCAGACACAGTGTGCCCTCAACTGTTCATCACCTCCTCTCGGCCAACCCGTGTCCTCAGGTTACCCTCTCTGCTTTTAATGATCTAAGATCCAAAATGGTCCCCGCTTATCTTCCCATTTTGCCAGGGTAGATTTTTTTTTAATATATATATTTTATTGATTTCAGAGAGGAAGGGAGAGGGAGAGATAGAATCATCAGTGATGAGAGAATCATGAACCGGCTGCCTCCTGCACGCCCCATACTGGGGATCGAGCCCACAACCCGGGCATGTGCCCTGACTGGTAATCAAACCATGGCCTCCTGGGTCATAGGTCGACGCTCAACCACGGAGCCACGCCGGCCAGGCTGGACGGGGCTTTCTAATGACCAGCCCTTACCCTGAACGTGTCACTTCGGGGCCAGTGCCCTACACAGGTGTCTTCTAGGTCAGTGGTCGGCAAACTGCGGCTCGCGAGCCACACGCGGCTCTTTGGCCCCTTGAGTGTGGCTCTTCCACAAAATACCGACTTCTGTGGGTGGGCCACCAAGTTTCAATCGCACTGTACGTGTGCGCCCGCATGTGGTATTTTGTGGAAGAGCCACACTCAAGGGGCCAAAGAGCCGCGTGTGGCTCGCGAGCCACAGTTTGCCGACCACTGTTCTAGGTTATCTCATTCCAACGAGGGGAGAAACGCTCTCGCTGCTCTGAACTCCATGGCGGATGCAGTCTGTCGGCCTGGGACTCCAACCATCCCCACCAAATGGCGGTTTCTTGGAGGTTAGGGCTGGGCCTGCCCCATGAGGATGCCCACTAAAGGACTGGGTGTTCCTGAGCAGCGTGCCGAGCTACTTGTCCCCGCTGTCTCCTCCCTGGGCCAGGCAATGCGCCGTCGGCCACCCGCGCTGGGATGCAGCGGTTTGGGAAGCACTGACATGGCAGACGTTCAGTAACGATGGATCGCTGCAAGGGCTACAGTCACACCTACTGAGCACCGCCCTGTGCAGAGCACTTCCTGCATTTTAACTCCTGTAGCCCTTGCAGCGATCCATCAGATGCCTTCTCTCGCTGTGCAGCCGGGAAACCGAGGCCTGTCCACGGCCACAGGCCGGGAGGTGAGGCCTGTCCACGGCCACAGGCTGGGAGGTCGCAGGGCTTACACCCAGGGAGTCCGGAATCAGAAGGTGCACTTAGCCGTAGACACTGTCCCCATGTAAATGTTTGCTGGATCTGAAAAATCTGCTTTAAAACCAACACCCCTACAAGTGGCAGAGCTAGAACGCAACGCAGGCACCTTCCTGGTTAGACCCAAGGTGACAGGGAGCAGCCAGCTGAGCACAGGAGCTTGGTCTCCAAGGGGAGCCCACCTGCCTGGGACCCTGTTAGCCCCAGACACACAGCAGGCCCGCTGTCCGTGTCTTAACAATGACATGATCACAACTAAGAAATGCTTTGGTGCGTTTCCCTCTCTCTGATTCCTCAACATAATTCGAACCTTATAATTGTGTTAATACACGGGTGTCATTTGGGTCAGTCCCTAAACCTTTATTGCCCTCCTGTAGCCTGCCTTTCTTCCCAGAGCCCCTCACCCCACACCCCACTCCCACACTCACCCACACATGGAGACACACTCGCACACACTCACATGCACACACACACTCACATGCACACAGACACTCGCACGCACACACACACACCCCCCAAAGTGGCTCTGCAGGTCCCTTTCCTGGCGGGCAGGGCAGGAGGGCGGGCAGGAGCCTGGCTTTGCTCGGGGGTTCGGACACCCATGGGGGGCACAGCCCGAGAGCCCAGCCGCGCCCCTGCCCACCGACCCCCTCGCCGGCGTAAAGCAGGAACGTGGCTGGTCTCCCAGGCCCGGCCCGAGGCCGTGGGGGCCGCCACCTGCGGTCTCTGCCTCCCGGCGCCGAGCCCTCCGCGCTCCCCGGGGAGTCGCGTCCCGGTCCCCACGGAGCCCGCGGTCCTCGCGGCCGGTCCCAGCGGGCGGGCGAGCAGGGAGGCGGCGGGCGGGCTCTCCGCTTCCCCCCGCAGCCCCGCTCGGCACCCGCGGGGGCGGGAGGCGGACCCTGCGCTCCCGGCCCACGGGCGACCCCGGAATCCGGGACCCGGGAGCCGCGTTACGGGAATCCGGCCGCCAGGCCCCGCCCCTCGCCGTGCGGGGCCGTCGGCCAATGGCAGGACGCGCCGGGCCCCCGGCGACCAATCCGCGCGCGGGGCGGGGCTGGCGGGGCGGGGCCGGGAGGAGGCCGCCGGGAGGAGGGCCGCGTGCCGCGCCTGCGGGGAGGACGGCGGACGGCGGACGGGGCGGCGAGCGGAGGACGGAGGACGGGCCTGGCGCCGGAGACGTGGCCGCGGAGCCGGGAGCGAAGCCCGAGGTGAGGCCCGGGGGCGGGCGGGGCGGGCGGCCTGGGCCTCGCAGTCGGGCCGCGGGGTCCGGAGGGCGGCGTACCCCCGCGCGGCCCGAGCCCCGTCCCGACCGGAAACCCGCGTCCCCCGCCCCGGCCCCGCTTCCCGACGGGAGCCGCGGCCTCGCCCCCTGATCCCAGCGCCCCGGCCGCGGCCGCCCCCGACGCGCACACTCACCCTGACTCCCTGCGGCCCCCGCCCGCGCCCCCCCTTCAGGCCGGGCCCTCGCTCCTCCCCGCCCGGCCCGGGGGTGGCCGTGGGGCCCTGCGTGTGGGTTCCGGCGGGTCGGTCCCGGGTCCCGCGCCGCGGTCCCTCCTCGGCCCAAAGCTTCCGTCCCGAGCGGAGGCGGAGACGGGCCGCTGTTGTCTGCGGGGCCGCGCGGGTGGGAACCGACTGGGGATCCAGCGCGACTTCCCGGGACGATGGGCGCCCGCGCTGTCAACACGCCGGGCCGGGGCTTGGGGGCCGGGGTGGGGGGTGGGGGCCCGAGTCCCGCCGCGGGCTTAGCCCGGCCCAGCGCGGGCCTGGGCAGTGATGGGAGCGGGGCCTGGCCGCTGCGCTTGGGGGGGCCGCTGCGCTGGGGGGGCCGCTGCGCTGGGGGGGCCGCTGCGCTTGGGGGGGGCCGCTACGCTTGGGGGGGGGGCCGCTGCGCTTGGGGGGAGCGTGCGCCGGGCCGGCTTGGGCGGGAGGTGTGAGCCCGTCTGCGTGAGCGGAGGGAGCGGGAAGGGAGGGCGGGGAGCTGCGAGGCAGCCCCTGGTTTGCAGGGACCCATCCGGTCCCGGCCCCGGTCCGGTTCTCATCCGTCACTTAGAAGAGGGTCAGCAGCGCTGCCCGCGGACTGGACCCGTGCCCTGTGCCATGGCAACGGCCTTCCTGTTGTCGCTTTTACGCATGAATCACAGCGTTTTCCACTTATTTTAAGAGTTTCCCAAGGGCGTCTGCCCTCCGGCTCCCGCGAGGGTGCAGGTGGGCATCACCTGCCTGCGCAGGAGGGGGCACAGCGCGCTCCACGGGGAGGGAGCCAGGCCTGCCCGGGACCCGTCTCTGCCCCGCACCCGTGGGGGCGCTTGGCGGTGCCCACGGGGCTCCTGCAGGGCCCGCTGCCGCCTGCGTGGGAGCTGGAGGGCCTCAGCGTGTGGAGTGTTTTCCCTCCAGCCATTTCAGAGCCTCGCTCTCTTTTTTAAGTTTATCTTCATTGTTGAACGTAGATGCCCCCCCCCACCTCCTCCTCCCCACTCCCTCCCCTCCCAGGCCCTCACTGCCCTGTTGTCCGTCCGTGGCTGGGCATGTCCATGGCTGGGCATGTGTGCATGGAAGGTCATTAGTTGATCTTTTCTCCCCAACCACCCCTTCCCTCTGAGGTGCGCAGGCTGTTCCACGCGCCCATGTCTCTGGATCTGTCTCCTTCCTCGGTTTATCGTGCTCATTAGATCCCACACGTGAGTGAGATGGTGGGATACTTGTCTTTCTCCGACTGGCTCGTCCACTGAGCATGACCCTCCAGGTCCCCCCTGCTGTCCTGCAGGGTGAGAGCTCCTTTTCTGCCGCGTGGTGTCCGTGGAGTGCGTGCGCCACAGCCGTGTATCCGCTCATCCCTGGTGGGCACGCGCTGTGTCCAGATCTCGCTGTTGTCAGTAGCGCTGCTGTGCAGTGGGGTGCACACGTTTTTCCTGGGGGAGCCGCTTCCACTGGGAGTCGGGGCTCCCGCCGCAGCACTTGCTGCTTGGCTCCTGGAGCAGCTGGGAGAGTCCAGGTGTCTCCGTGCCTCTGAGGGCAAAGGCCGTCTGCTCAGGGGGGAGTTCTCCGAGCTTTACTCTTCCACGCCACGGAGACTGCGCACGTCCTGTGGCCACGGGAGCTCAGGAGGCTGGCGCTGCCCTGGACCCTGCGAGAGCCGCCTGGAGGTGGCTGACTGTGCCAGGGTGCAGGCCGTCCTCATGAAACGCGGGGTGGCACCGATCGCGCCGAGATCTCTCAAACAGGGAGTGACCGGCTGAGCCTTGGGAGGGTCAGCGGGTTTCCTAGAGGTCGGCCTTGCGCCTGGTCAGACCTGGATGCAGGGAAGACGAGGGGGCCGTTGCGAGTGGAGCCAGTGCGGAAAGGGCGAGGCGTGTCCCAGGTGACAAACTTGCAGTGCACGTGGCTAAGGAACGGTGACCCCGAGTTCACACCCGGACGGCCTGGCTGCAGACTGTGGCTCCTTGCCGTGGCCTGTGCTGCCTCTTCACAGGTGCACACGCGTGACAGGGACTAGAGCCATGTGGCCACACAGAAGGCCTTCCAGAACCCGCCCCTCACGGTCTATGGGCCTCGCAGCATGTTCGGTTCTGAGGACCTCAGCGCCTACAGCAAGGGACTGCCGCCCAGCATTGGGACTCTGATTAGGAAACTGTTGTTCAAGTCCACTGGGGGCAAAGATGTCGTGAGCGTGGGAGGAAGTTCTGAGTTATAAACACTGTGAAGCAGGCCCAAGGACAGATGGTAGAGGCGGGGAGTCCGCGTGCAGAAGCACAGACCCTAAGGAAGTGTTGAGAAAGGCTCGCCGTGGGCTCGGCCTGGGCGCAGCTCTGCAGGGTGGCCGGTAGGAATGATAGGAGGCAGGACCGAATTGTGAATGGCAAGTAGAATGAAGAACGGACGTATTTGCTTTGCAATTGGCTTTGCAGGGCGTCCCGCCTGATGGGAGTGGAAGCCGAGGCTTGCCGTTCCTCTGGAAGATCGTCTGAGCTGAGAGCAGGGTTGTTAAGCGTCGACTTGAAATGCCAAAGAAGGTAGCTGGGACCGGCACACTGCAGCCAAATTTTTAGGTTCTTAAGTGGCTGAAACATTTGGCCTTGTTATTCACCCTTTAAAAAGCTTTTGGGGAAAGAGCGACAGCTTGAAAGTAGCGTTTTAGAGAACTTTATCCATCAGAAACGTTCAGAATGGTTTGGGGGGAGAAAGGGGCGGGAAGCAAGGGGCAGGGGTACACATGGTTATGCTTATAAATTAGTTCGGTCAGGATGAGGGTAGAAAGAGACAAGTAAGACAGGCCTTACAGATGGATGGAGGCTGGGGCAGGTTGGTAACAGAAAAGCTAAAAGGACAGGCCAGAGGCAGCCTGGGCCCTTTGGCTTGGGCAGTTTGCGAAGGCAAGTGTCTTTTCAGATGGAAAGATAAGAGCTGTGACCTTAAAGGAAGGTGTGTGCATGTCTGTGTACATGTGTGTGCGTGACCATGTGTCTGTGTGGGTATTGTCTTCAGACCTGGTGCATTTATTGGCCTCAGAGACGGGACGTTCGAGGCGCTGACGTTCGAGGCGCTGACGCAGAACTGGAATTTAGGACGGAGGCCCATCCAGAATTGTTGACAGTATTTGCCTGAGGGTCGTAGCTGGCAGTGCAGGTCTTCAGAGAAGTTGTGTTTTAAATACTAGTCGATGCCAAACACCCTGGTTCACGCAGAGCCAGGAGATAAAACCCCACAGAGATTTTCCGCTGAAAAGGAGATAAAGGGCAGAAGTCAACCACACGCTGTGGCTACGTGGAAACCGAGGGTTCCAGACGCAGAGTCGGCCGCCACGGAGAGGCTGCGAAACTCGCTGTGCGGCCCTGCGGCGGCCTGTCTGCCTCCGCCCGTCTGCCCCGTGGGGCTCGGTGGGAATCGAGGCGGCCCATTGGCCGAGAGTCGTGTGGAACTAGCCTGGGTTCTCGTCTTAAAGCTGCAGGGCAGGAGCTGTTCCTTTCTGCACAACGAAACCCTGGGCTGGTTCACAGCGGGGCTTTCCTGGGCTGGGTCTGAACTGGGTGTTTGTTCTCTGTGCTTCTGTAGCGCCCAGGGCATATGCTACCCTCCGAACTTTGAACTTCTCCAGGGAAGAACTGTCATTTGGCTTCGACGACGATATTTGTAAAAGGCCTTCTCTGCCTGCGAGGACACAGGCGTGCTCTGCATTTCCCACGCAGGGCCCTGATCCATCTGGAGTGTCTGTGTCTGGGATGACGTGGGGCTCTGCATTATTTTTGTTAAGTATTGTCATTATTTTTCTTGTGGAGTCAGTTGTCCCAATACTACTAGTTCTTTATTCCCCCAGTGATATGGCCCTGGCCGGTGTGCTCAGTGGATAGAGCGTCGGCCTGTGGACCAAATGGTCCCGGGTTTCATTCCGGTCAAGGGCACGGACCTCAGTTGCAGGCTCCTCCCGGGCCAGGGCCATCCATGGTCAGGGCGCGTGCAGGAGGCAACCAGTTGATGTGTTTCTTTCACATCGATGCTTCTCTCTGTCTTTCCCTCTCTCTCCCACTCTCCCTAAAAATCAATGGGATTAACAACAAAACAAAGATATCACATTATCTACAGGGTGGGGCAAAAGTAGGTTTACGGTTGTGAGTACGTGAAAGTTTCTTCTTGTGCTGATATTTATTAATTAGTGCACTGTTCTCCGTATGGACAGTGTAGACCTACTTTTGCCCTGTACGCGTGGGTCTGTGTGGGAGGAAGCAACGTTCCTTTCCCCATGGGAACCCACTGCATGAGAGTCAGACCCTCACACTCATAGGAGGTTCAGAGACAGAAAGGGAAGATGCGGTACGTTTGGCGTCTGAGCTGAGGCCACCTTAGGGCGTGGGGGTGGAGTGGGGAGGTCATTGCAGGACGAGAAGAGCAGATGTTCTGTGGCTCGTCCTTCCCTTCACATCGTCCATAAAACTATTTCCGGGAGTAACTCTTGCATGGGCAAGGCCCCAGGTGCGGCTTCCTTAGAGGGGAGGGAGCCCTTGATGGTGACCCTGCAGTCTCCGCTCAAATCCTTCACAGGCCAGAGTGGCCCGTTGGGGGGGGCCTGTTCTGAACCCCGCATCTGTTTCTGGACATGGCGGTTTACAGCACGAGGGCTGGCTGTGTCTGTGCCCGCGCTATGGCTTCATCCCTGTAACACTGCAGTGTGTCCTAATAGATGGGGCCTCTGGTCAGCAAAGTGATGTTGGCTCTT